TGTCTTTGTGATGCTTGCATGAAAGACCAGGGGGTGGCCCTTGGCACTTGTCTGTAAGACCCAGGGAGTGGCCCCAGGCTTGACAAGGAAGACCACGTGCGGCCCGTGGCATAACAACAAGACTATGTTTGGCACATAGCACCTTACTTGATTATGGATATGTTTGTTATGTATGGCTCATGGTTACGTATGGCATGTATGGATCAGTTGATATGTATGGTATGTGGTATCTGGGGAACTCACTAAGCTTCATGCTTACGGTTTTCAGTTATTTGTTTCAGGTATTAATGTTTTTCCAAGGAAGGAGCTCGGGGCGATCGCAGCGCATCACACCATGTTTTCCGCACTAGATGATCTTTGGGATTTAAAACTCTGATAAATGTCTTATTGAGAATGTTATTAAATGATTGAGCAAAATTTATTTAGCGGTTTTTAATTAATCAAAACGAAATTTTCGGTCTTGAATTTTGGGATGTTACACTTTTAGTTTGTAAGAATATGTATGAATTTGTATTTAAGTTCGGATATATAAGAATATATTAGAATGTTGTTATTTTTCAACCTCGGATTCAAGAATTTTGTTATTCTTCAATAATATTCTAATAGAATAAAATTCTGAAAAAACATCATTCTAACAAAAAAATATTCTGATAGAATAAAATCGGTTATGTTTACAAATTACGTTAGAATTAAAATTGAATTAATTAAAAAAATTCAGATTTTAAAATTAGGAGAATTAATTATCCCTAAAAATCTGAAATTTTCATTTTATAAATGTAGTTAATTGTCCAAAATACCCTTTTGCTAAAATTTGTGGGATTATATGGTACATGTTATCCCATTGTAATATCATACGCTCTCAAATCATGTCCATTGATTAATTTCATCCATTGGTCCAGATCTGTACATTCTGACACACAATAGTTAGTAAAAACAAAATAACCTAAGTATATATATATATATATATATATATATATATATATATATAATAAGGACAAATAAAAGACCTTTGATTTGACAATTTCTAAAACTAGGCACTCAAAACCCTCATTAGGGTTCTTTTAGTAGCACCCGTTTGGTAAATTGATTAAGTTGATTCATTTTTTTAGGGAGTGTTTATGAAGTGCTTTTTAAAATGACTCATTAACTTATTGGTTTTTCAAAAAGTCAATGAGTTAAAAAAAATATTTGGTAAAGATCTTTTTAGGCAAAAGAAAATGATTTTTTTTTTCAAAAAACCAGGTTTACTTGGTTTTTCCAAAAAGTCAATAAGGAGTTTCAAATGAACTCCCAAACACACCCTTATTATAGAGCGTAGAAATGTGTTGAGTGAGCCAAAATATCTAGAAATTTAAGTGTGAGAGTGTTAGTGTAACTAAGGATGAATGAATGATGGAGCTGATTCGTACGTAACAATTTTTCTTCATATATAAACAATTTATGTTTTAAAATGTTATATTTTATAATCCTATAAAACATAAATTGTTGTGTATAGATAAAAAATAATTATATGAATAACTTACTTTAACATTGTGTGCCTTAGGCAGCCCTTTTTTAGAAACCAATGTCATATAATTTAAACAAAATAAATCCCAATAATAATGAGTTGAAAGGATCAATGTTGTTTCTTGTTTGATATAACAACCAGTAATGTGAATAGACATGCCTAGAACATTTCAAAAAAACATGAAAGATGACCATGGTTTTCTCTTCCACATCGAACTGATGTAACATCCATAAAATTCATGAAAAATTTAAACTTTTAAAACAACCCAAAAATCATCATTGTTTACAAATAGTTTTCAAAACAGGGTTAATATCAGAGTATTCCCAAAACCGTAAAATAAAACATGAGGGGGTGCACGATCACGCCTTCGCTTTGCTGCGATCATCTGAGGTACCTGAAACATAACCCAAAACTGTAAGCCTAAAGCTTAGTGAGTTCCCCTAAAATATCAATACACAACAATAACACATATACAATAACAGCATGCAATGAGTCCACAGCTAACAGACTGGATTACCCCTGTGCCCATATCATAAGTTTGGCTTGCACTTGGCCCACAGTACGAGTCTGGCATGCCATTCCCGTCCCTTAGCTCATATCTGGAATGCTCATTAGCCCTCAGTATGAGTCTGGCATGCCCTCCCGGCCCTCGGCTCATATCTGGCTTGCTCCATGGTTTGTTGGCTACAACACGGAGCAGTACAACCTCAACCCAACCCACACAATATGTCAACATATAACAGATAATATCATATACAGATAAATAAACAGTATCACAGGTAGTCCTATAGATATACCAGACTAGCATATCCAATCTAGCATGTATATTTATTCCATACTCAACATATCAACAAATATCATGTTATCAAACCAATGGGACAACCTTGGTGCCTTCGACCCAAAAGTATAGCGAGGAAAACTCACCTCACAACTGGAAAAAACTAATAAGACCCAACTCCGAATCTCAGATCTCTACTCAATACTTACATCCACCAAGTGACCAATTCCATCAAAATCCCGAAATATCCAACATACCCTCAAAGTCCAACTTGGTCAAAGTCAACGGTCAAGGTCAACTGTCCATGTTTCCCTTTGGCCACACCGTGTTCCGCGAGCATCCAAACAGACGGGAAACTTTAGCCAACACGCCGTGTTCGCCTGAGTTCCAACATTCAGCTGCCTTTTCGACCCCAAGAGTTCCTAGTCTTAAATCTAGACCAAAAATGCGAGTAGGAAGGATAAAGTTTCCAATTTTATCCATTGGGACTACCAAAAGGTCCCAAAACCCAAATTACAAGCTTGACAATGCAAGGGCTTAACCACAATACCCTTAATCCTTAAGATCTGAAGTCCATTCCTTCCAAAAGTGGTTCTAATACCTAAACCAATCCAAAGGTTGGTGCTTTTTAGACATCCATGCCCAATACATGTCTTGAACCCAAATTATGTCAAAAAGGAGATTTATGACCTAATATCTATGCATGACATCAAAACTTGGTTAAAGACCAGATCCAAGCCACTACTAGGCCACCTTGACCTGGAGATTCATAAAGTTGCAAACTTTAGGAGATCCATCCATTGTAATATACAAGAACAAGGAGAAAAAGGGACAAAACTCAAGATCTAACAACTTTGATTGATAAAAATCGGGTCTTGGACACTTACAAAGGTCCAGTAGAGTGCCAAACTGAAGAATAGGGCTTGCTTGCTGGATCTTTGCTTCCTTCTTTCACCTTGTTCCTTCAAAACACCAACTAGCTTCACAAATGGGAGAGGAATATATTAGGGTTTCTTTTCAGAGCTTGAGGGGCTGATGGAGGCTGAGGGTGAACAAACCCTAGCCTCCACATTCCTTTAAATAGCGAGAAAGACCCGAAATATTAGGGTTTCATTTTCAGCGGTCAACACGCCGTGTTTCCCAAATAAAACCCGTGCCTTTTAATATTTAGACACGCCGTGTTGGAGCCTCCAACACGCAGTGTCCAAGCCCCAAGAATGCTACCACTTGACCAATTGACATGAAATGGAATTATAGGGATGAATTTAGAAGTACGTGTACATCGGGACGTTACAACTGACTACTATTTGCCCGAGAACATATAGGAGGATATATTAGGGTGATGGTGGAAAACTGGATTCCTTATGGATTGTGTATGTTCACATTCCGAACTGATATTTTCACCCTATGTATGGGTTACATGAAATCCATTATAGGGTAATCCAAAAGCACACTTGTGTATCTATGCATAGAAACACAATCCAAATCGCCAGAGAGTTCTAAGTTCGTTTGGAAGAAAGAGAGCTTGAAAAGGGTTCTATCCACCGCTAGGGGCTCTACCCCTTGGACCCTGCTAGGGGCACTGCCACTAGGACCCTGCAAGGGAGCGTGCCCCCTTGACCCCCGCCTTTCTGTCGTACTGACTTATAATTCGATCTTATATATGCATGCACTCCGCATTCGTCATAACATATAATATAGAGTACAAACGATAAGTCCTTTAACTCACATGTTAGTTCCAATTACACAAAAATGTAAGGTGATACTAAAATCATCAACAAAACACAAGGGACAAAGTTCATTATTATTCATTCTCTCGTTTAACAAATCATATTACCATGGCCTTTTGGTAGTGAGGTGACATTATCATTTAGTTATAAATTTAAAGTGAGAAACCTACCGATTCAACTAAATTATGTTGTATGCATTGTATAATATGTATAAATCACTAATATTATTATGTTTTTGTGTATATTGAAAAAAAAAAAGATTGAATGAAATCCTCTTCATTTTTTTTAAATTTTCTTCCTTTTTTAGAATGCAACTCTGATTCTTTTTTCTTGCATTTTCTTTTTCGAATTTTGGTCTAAACATATAGATTAGTTAAAGTAAACAAAGGGGTGTTATGAGGTTAAGTTTAAGTGGTTTTAGTTTGTTATTTGGTTTAATAAGTTTTTTAACACTTCAAAATTAATTATAAAACAGATTGTATAAGGTTCAACTTGATCGGTTTTTGGTAATTCGGTTTGGTTAATCAGGAAAACCAAATAACATTTTTGTTTGGGATTAACTTAGAGGGGAATAAAACAAAATTCACATCAATTATAACATTAGTTAAAAGCACATCTCGATCATTAAAAATTTTGCAACGTAAATTCTACATTTGTTTTTACAACTTTTATTATATTTTAACATTAGACAACTTTCAAAATAAATTCCATACTCATTTTTACATCTTACTTTTATGTTATAAGTAACCTTAAACATTTGCAAAATAAATTTCATAGATATATAAATAAAATTTAAAAAATATTAATCTTATTGGAGTTTTGCTTATAGTTAGGGCTAATAATATGTCCAATATTTAATTAGGCCTGGTTAGGGACAAAGCCCATAATCTCATAAGCTGTATCGTCATTCATCATCTACCTCAACATTCAGACTATCGTTAACTTGAAACTACTTTTTACCCGCCAATTTCCTGTACGCACATCAATGGCGTCCTTCACACTTCGAATCTTGCAATTCTTGATCTTCCCTGGTGCCATCTTCTTCCATTTCGATTTAGTAATGGCTCTTCAGCTCAATCAAGTCTCTCGTTTTAGCCCTTTACAACCTCCAATTACATCGCCGGTTAATTCTATTTCTCCTGCTCCGCCACCACAATCGACAGTGCCACCGTCATCTCTATCACCCTATCTACCATCGGATTCACAGCCGGCAACTGCATCACCTCCACACCCATCGCCTTCACACCCACCACCTCCTTCTCCGTCGCCTCCATACTCGCCACCTCCACCGCCTCCATCTCCATCACCACCGTCTACGCCGCCTGCTTCCCCAGTTAGGGCGCTATTCGTTCTTGGTGACTCTTCTGTTGACTGTGGAACCAACAATTTCTTGGGAACATTTGCTCGTGCAGATCGTCTTCCTTATGGACGTGATTTTGATACACATCAACCCACCGGACGATTCTGCAACGGAAGAATCCCTGTGGATTTTCTTGGTAAATAACTGTTTTCTTACATCTATTTCTTTATTCCCTTATTGTTACAATCTAGTTGCATTCTAGGTGTTCAACCAAATGTCTAGGCATTTTCAAGCATCATATTCTGATTGCCCATTTCTTTTCAATTTTCTTGGTAATTTTCATCAGCACTGCGTCTAGGGCTTCCTTTTGTTCCAAGCTATCTAGGTCAAGCTGGATCTATTGAAGATATGATCCATGGTGTCAATTATGCCTCTGCTGGTGCTGGGATCATCTTCTCCAGCGGATCAGAATTGGTAGGTTTAATTTATGAACCAAATTTATCTTTTTCCCGATTCTTTAAATGGGTTATACATCAGAGTCAAACTATCTACATTTTGCAGGGTCAACACGTATCATTCGGCCAACAAATTCAACAGACTATAGACACCTTTCAACTTTTCATAACACAAATGGGCGAACAAACAGCTGCTAATTTCATCTCAAACTCCATAATCTATATTTCAATTGGAACTAATGATTACATACATTACTATCTTCCTAACGTGTCCGATGTACAATCCAAGTATGTATCATGGAAATTTAACCAGTTTTTAGCCTACTCCATGAAGGAGGAGATAAAGGTAACAAAAAAAAGCCGTAATCTTTTTACATTCTTGATATCATTTTGTGGGTCCCATTTGATTTTGTATTTGTGATGCAGAATTTGTACAATGCTAATGTGAGAAGAGTGGTGGTGATGGGATTAGCGCCTATTGGTTGTGCACCTTATTATTTGTGGCAATATGGGAGTGAAGATGGAGATTGTATAAAGGTGATAAACAACATGATAATGGAATTTAACTTTGTTATGAGATTTACAATATCAGAGCTTCGCAAAGAACTCACGGATGCCAACATTATCTTTTGTGACGCATATCAAGGGTCCATGGATATAATAAAGAATTTTGATCAATATGGTAAGAATAAAACCCTTGTTTTCTTCTTACAGAAATAGTCAAGGGTTCAAGTCTCTATGGGTTTTACAGCTCCAATGTGGATTAGGATTAGATGATGCTCACGTAAGCCAGTGGCAATGTGGGCCAGCTTAGGATTTTTTTTTCTTCAGAAAGTAGTGATTTGACAATTTGTTTTATTTGTTGAAGGATTTAGTGTGACAAATGAAGCTTGTTGCGGCGTGGGGCCATACAATGGTTGGATGATGTGCATGGGCCCTGAAATGGCTTGCGAGAACGCTTCTAGTCATCTTTGGTGGGACCAATTTCATCCAACGGCTGCGGTGAATGAGATTCTGGCGGATAACGTGTGGTCTGGATTGCACACACCCATGTGCTATCCGATGAACATGGAGGACATGGTGAAATAATATGTGGTTTTTGGTGTTGCTGATTCTTTGATACTCAATTAAGTTGTATTCTATCAGGAAATTATCTAGTTTCGTGGTGTATTTGGTTGGAAGAATATGGGTAGTATGGATAATAGAGAATTGTATATATTCATATGAATTACTAACTGTGAAAGAAAAAAAAAACCAGGATTTATATGACGACTTAAAAAAATAGAATGTACTCCAAAATGATTATGATTGATATGGTTTTATCTTACAAAAAAAATATAAAGTATATTTGATGTGTTATCAGATTGAATCCATTTGACATTACACGTCATGACATAAGGTTTGTTTGTTGATATGGGTTTGGTGATGAACATATATATGATTTGTTGAAGGTTGTCTTAGAGCATCTCCGATCCTAATTCAAACTCAATTTTTTATTCTATTATGTAGTTAAACCATATCCAACCCCATCCATTTCCAACTTTATAGGAGTAAAGGAATAGTAATTCTCCAAATACAAATACAGAGTTGTATTGTTCATTTCTCCAAAATGAAGTTTAATTTTGGCTTATCAATTTTAGTCTCTCACATTTTAGGTTTATCAATTTCTACTTTGTTTTAATTAACTATAATTTAAATGATATAAATTAATCATAAATACAAAATTTATTGTTTATGTATCGAGTTCATATAAAATTTAATAAATATATTAAAAAAACTAATAAGTTGAAAGTTACTTATGACAATATTTATAAGTTAAAAAAAAAATACTAGAGATATACTTTTTGTAGTAAAAATAGAATAAGATCGAAAACGAAATAATATTTTTATTCCATTTTGGAGTAAAAAATGGAGGTATGTCGAAGATGTCTTAATGGTTAAGAGTGTGATTACATAAACTAAACTCATAATGGAGGCAAGTTAGAAAAAATTGACAACATAAATTATATATATTGTTCCTAATGGTTTAAAAACCACCATGGGAACCACAACCTTTGAATCTTGTCTACTTTAAATTGACTATTTATAGTTATCAACCATTTACTAATAACCTACTTGTAACATCCTAAAAATGCAACCCAAAAATTTTTGTTTGAAAACTTTACTAAACTATAATATCAAATATTAAAGGATAAAACCATGAATCATGTATCTCAAAATGTCATAATAAATTTATCAAATCGAAACTAATGTCAAGATCATATCAAAATATCAGAGTCTAACTCCCAGGCTAAAACTGTGGTGTGTGCCATGCCATCATCCCGAGCCCTTCCCTTTGCTAGTTGAAGTACCTGAAACCAAAACTGAAATTGTAAGCACGAAGCTTAGTGAGCTCCCCAAACTACCACATACCATACAATAACATATAAAGCACATACTGGGCCTCGCCCACTGCATCGGACCGAAGTCCGGAACTGACTAGGGCCTTGCCCACTGCATCGGACCGAAGTCCGGAACTGACTAGGGCCTTGCCCACTGCATCGGACCGAAGTCCGAAACTACTAAGGCCTTGCCCACTGCATCGGACCGGAGTCCGGAACTAACTAGGGCCTTGCCCACTGCATCGGATCGGAGTCCGGAACTAACTAGGGCCTTGCGCACTGCATCGGACCGAAGTCCGGAACTGCATCGGACCGAAGTCCGGAACTGACTGAACATAGCATAACATAGTCATAACATATAATATGAACATATATACTGCATACTGCATCGGACCATAGTCCGGAACACATAACACACACCATGCCTGCATCACAAAGACACCAAGCATACTGAACTACTGCATCGGACAGAAGTCCGGAACTACTGCTAACTAGACGGGCCGGCATTGTGGTTGTAGACCCGTTCCTACCGGAAGGAAACTCACCTCGCAAGGCTGGCTGCTGAGATGCTGCTTGGGAACTGTCTGGCTGCTATTCCGGTAACTCCCCGACTACAATTCCCAAAAGACACTTAATCAGACACTGATAACTAATCTTAGGGCAAAATGATTATTTTACCCCATGGTCAAAGTCAACAATCCGTTGACCTGACTCGCCGAGTTGGGCCGCCAACTCGTCGAGTCCCTATCTTTCCTTCTACTCCCCTTCCCGACTCTACTCGTCGAGTTTAGCGAAGATTCGACGAGTTCTCCTTCTATAATAACACCAAGACAACCTTTATCTGACTCGTCGAGTTGTATGAACAACTCGTCGAGTCTGTTCTTGTGGGAAGAAGATTGTCTTGGACTCGCCGAGTCAAGGCGTAGACTCGTCGAGTCCCTCTACACTCAGATCCATGTCTTAACTCATTGAGTCTTTACTCCACTCACTAAACAGACTCGCTACTACTGAACAGGGAATCTAAGACTCGCGACCTAACTCGCCGAGTCCGAAGAACGACTCGCCGAGTCCTTTGCATGCAGTTTCTATTCAGCCGATTCTAATCGGTTTCAGTGCATCCAATTCATAGATCTGGGTTTCTGGGACCATCTGAACACGTAAAGTTGCTAACTTTACGTGTATCCATGATGCAATGAAGCAATAACACTCAAAGTTGGCTATAATGGGGGGGGGGGGGGGTTACTTGTCTAGAACAAGGCCATGGCTGCCAAAAGGTGGCCTTCTTGAGCTCCTGGAACTCAAGAGGGGCTAGATCCGAGATATGGCTTGATTACAAAGCTTCATCACTAGGGATTTGGGGTTTTTGAGCTCAAAACCATCAATTTGGGGACAAACTAGATCTAGCAATACAATAACCAAGATGAAAGCTTTATTACCAGAAAGGATGGCCAAAGAGGAGTATAATTTGGATCTACTTCTTTTTCCTTGAGTTATTCTACCTTCTCCTTCTTCTTCTTGCTCAACAATGCACCAAGATTCCTTCACAAGGGCAAAAATCACTCACACACACTTTAAGGAGGCTAGGGTTTCAGGAATAAGTCTCTGAGAGGTGAAGGAGACTGGTTTGGGGCTATAATGGTGTTTAAATAGGGTACACTCCCTAAAATTAGGGCTTCATCCAGACTGGCGGACTCGCCGAGTCCGGAACTATGGACTCGTCGAGTCGCCACGCCTACTCCACGTGCTAACTCGATGCTACTCGACGAGTTGGGGCCACTGACTCGTCGAGTAGCTTCTAAAATAAAAAGAAAAATAATGTTTTAAATGCATACCAGGAACGGGGCGTTACAACTTACATAAGGCCTCCGTCTTCAACTTCTCCAGACGACTATATATTCACCTCCCATGTTCCCCACTGCCACTCAGATGATTTGCCCACGATCAGAAAATGAACTATAATACTCGGAAAATGAACTATGATGTTCCCCACTGCCGCTCAGTTCACTTGCTCAGTTCATTGAATATGTAACAAAAAAAATGTAAAGTACAAACAGTAAACTACATGTTGGGAAATATATTATGTCAATCTGACTTTAGAGGAATGAGTTATAACATTTTAAAGTATTTCACATATTACAAAGTATGCAAAATGATGAAAACCTTTCAGTTTTGATATCTGATTTTCAAAGAACTGTAACTCAATTAATATGTAATCAAAAAGCTGGAATTATAGCCTAAAATGAAATCGAAACATTAAACTATTATACTATATGTTGGGAAAGAAATACTGTTAATCCGATTAAAACAAATGAGCTATATCATTTAAAGAATTTTACAGAATTTACAGTTTAAACCGGTTTTTACCCGAAACCGATAGTAAAAAAATTAACCAATATAGCAGCTTAATAAGAACCAAATCAACCAATAACCGGCCCCATGCATGTAAACCGGTCCCGCCCCGGTTCGGGATGGTCACCCCTGGCTTACCGAGCGAAATTTTATTTTCTCACGATTCATTGAAATAAAATATCGTCATCAAACGTTAATCGGACACTCATTTGGTTGTACGTTGCGTTCATTTTCTTCGATTATTCCCCAAAACGAGAATAAAATCAGCAGAATCATCTTGGTGATGAATTTCTAAGCAGTAAAATCTCCGTTAATTGCATGTAAAGCGATTTCAGCAACCCTAGGTATGTCGATGAATAATGAAAATTTCGATGTGAAATTATATCTGGGTAATAATGGCGATGATCATGAGATTTGAATTCGTATTTGTTGATTGCTGTATTTTGCGGATTTTTATGACAATAGATGGAATTTGAACTGTTCACTGACTGCGCCGAGGATGATTATACTTTTGGAGCTGAAGATGATGATAATGTGAGTATATGTTATCTTCGGTTTAGTTATTCTAGTTTTGTTCTGTTGTCTATTAGTAGATTTAGCTCGACGATATTTTTTTCCACGAAAAAAGTAGCATTTGCTAAATTGATCGTGGATGTGCAAAAGCGCATTCCCTCCTTCTATAAAACAGATGACGAATTGGACTTTGGAGGTAATACACGCATTTCAACTTCAAAATTGTTATCACGGCTTGAAATGATGAACAGAAATGTGGTGAATAAGTTAAGATAATAGTTCCTGCAATTAGAAATGTTTCTCTGAGTTTTGTAAAAAAAAAGGTATACAAGAGTTTGGAAACGGATAGGTTTAATATCAAAAGCTACAGTGTATTTCTTTCCATTATAGTGGTGGGAGTATATGTAGATATGCTAGATCGAGTGTGTATAATATTGATTTAATATGACTAATATAATGGATGATTTACATCTGTTTATAGTTGGAATTTGTTGTACTTGTTCATATAGTGAACAAATAGATGTTTAAATGTAGCTTTCAGATTGATACTGTTGTGTACATGTGCCTTATATGCAGGAACAAGAACAGCTAGTGTTTGAGGGTGATGAAGGTCAAAGATGTGGGATTTGCATGGATGTTGTTGTTGATAGAGGAGTTTTAGATTGCTGTCAGCACTGGTATATGCCTCATATTATCAATCTTTTTCTTTAATTTGGGGTTTGGGGGTGGGCATAGTTTGTTAGTATATCATCATTGCTTGTCTTGATTGCCATTGCTATCACTTCATCAGAGATATTCACTCTTAATTCTTTCAATTCAGGTACTGCTTTTCATGCATTGACAACT